AGGTTGCTAGGGTAAACATTTTGGTTGCTAGGCATCAGTGATGTCATTAAATGTAACATTTGTTACTATGATTAGCATAAACAAACCCCAATTTTATATTAAAATTCAGTTTCATATAAGTATTTTTAATGGCCATTTAATTCTAGAGCCTGGGGATCAAATATTTTTGCACAGTGGTTAATATGATCTTGCACTGTTCTCAGTTTGAGTCAGAGTTATACAAAGTTTGACACCATGTTAAATCAATGGGAAATTTCCAAGAATTCTCAATGATTTCCCAGAATTCCTTTTTAATGGTGCCACTCTGAAAACATAGCAACCTAAGTCAGACCAGTATGGATATCTTGCCAAAGTGTATGACTGTAGCTTGAGCAGGAGATGCGTTTACAATTATTTGTCAGAAGCGAAAGACGAATGTTTTGGCAAGCCACCATAATGAATATCATATTTCCTCAGAAAGGCACCAAGAGTAAATCACTGACAATAAATTAAAAAGGGCCCAGGACTGAACCCTGGGGAACACCATACACGCTCCACATTAAATAATTACATTGACTGGGACATCTTAAAATAACGGAAACTGCTTGACTTAACCTTTGAAAGACATTGTTGTACACAAATGTGCTCCTAAGTATTTTATTAGATCTTTAATGGGTCTAAAATTTAAACCAGGAACGGCATTTTCACACAAAATAATTTATTAGAAGAGTTCAAAAGCATGTAAATTCATATTTCTGTGGATATTGAGCATAATTTAACGTTTGTCTAGATTTTTCTGACAAACATTCTGCTGACTGCAAGGTACCAATTCCCACAAGAGAGGTACCAAGACAGAATAAGAAGGAGAGGAAGGCAGGTACATTTGTGTGTGGAGCATGTGCCAGGCTTGCAGTTCTCAGCTGGTGAGACCAGCATAAGGATCCAAGCTTTCTGAGTCTGTGGGGACCTACACAAAACATCCTGGCCTTCCTGTTCCACGTGTGTCTTGACTCGACAGGGACGTGCTAGTGGGGCTTTGGGGGCGTAAGCTGCTGTTCTTTCTTAGTGCCCCTCTCGGCATATATTAAAAATAATATTACGGTTAAAAAATTGCAATAAAATATAGCAAACGGCCTGCCCCAAAGATATACTTACCAGATCCATAAAACATATAGAATGGACAAAAATACAGTAGAAATACAATAAACTCCTAGTTGATTTACAATGTGTATGCACACTTATGTCCAAATATTTCTGAAAGTAAATGTATAAATTTAATACATATTGAGTGATTAAAAAATGTACAATGGGCGCCACATTTACATTTTTTACATTTAAACGTTGATGCACTTAGCAGGCGAACAAAACAGCGAAAAAACAGTAATACTGTAATTAATTTATATAAACACCACAATAAATAAAAAAATACATGGTTTTGGTTAAGGAAGAAGAGTGTGACGATGAAGAATTCAGAGAATTAAAAGTTGAGAAAAAAGAGAGGAAAATAGATCCAAACGAATGTTAAAAGTACAAAAAAAAAAGATTATAGTTTAAAAAAAGATTAGTAGAAACACAGTTTTACAGATATAAAATTTTAATCCTATTATTTAATTTTTCACAATTTTCTTCACTAAAAAAAATAAAACGATATTAATCTATTTAAGTAGTTTTGTTATTTATTTATTATCTAAATTGTGAGTTAACAATATTATGAATATCTATTTTATTATTATATTCCTAGTTGACTTTGACGCCCCTGAGATCCTTTCTGCACCTCTACCCTCACCGAGGTAAAAAAAACGTATTGCAAACATTCACCAGAGCACATGCCTCATGGAGCTAAACACTGAACAAATCTAGTGCAGCGGAGGAAATTAAAGACTGATGCGAACTCATTGCTTTTACCATTATTAATAGGTCTGTGCATAATAGCATTAAATTCACATTAAGCAGCACTTTACCACATGCAGACTAAAAAATAAAGCCAAAAATTCAGCTAGAAGTGTGCGCTGATTAAAATGACCAACTTACAAGGTCAAACCAAACATGTGAGAGATTGTAATAATTTATCAGAGTTTTTAAGTGTAACTTGTTTGCCGTTGTCATGCTGGTATCCCAGTTGTTACAGAGGCTAGAAGGAAGGAGAAGAGACTATATACGAGATTTATTTACACGCTATTTATTAACTGTACATAAGAAAGGGGATTGGACTCCCTGTTGATCCCTCAGGAAACCAAAAGCAGGAAGTCCAGAGGAATCCACAGTGCTTTCGGAGTGGATGACAGGTGAGTAATAGTCTAGAGTAATCCACAAGATCCGATGGAGTGATGGATGAAACGCAAAAGAGACACAGAAATGAGCATTGGAGTCCAAGGAGACATGAAGCGATCATGGAGAGTCAGGAGGAGTTAACCATAGATCTGACAACTGAGGAGACACATGGAGGACCTTATAAATTGTGGGAGATGAGTGCTCTGATTGGTTGACTGGTCCATTGGAGAGATTGTCTGATGGTTTGAAAAAACAACCAAGGGACATAATATACTGGCAAAAAACAATTACGGCCCAGTTTTTCCCAGTTCCTGCACTGCCATTTCTTTTTCAATGCTCTTTCACACCCGTTTCAAATGGATCATACCATTATGTAATCTCAAAGGGGTCTCTTAAATGACAACATAAAAACTTAATGTCAGCACAAACCTTTAAACACAAAATAAACATATTTTATCAATCAGTGACATCCATTAAATTACAAATCCAAGTGTTTAAATAATTTTCTGCTCCCCGTCATCCATTGGTTGATGGAATCTGTCTGTTTTGGCAAGATAACAGACTTTAAAAAGCCAGCTAATTTCTATTACCAATATTGCAACAAAGCAATTACTACAGTTCACCCACCCTGACTCTCCATGATAGCTCTTAGCCTTCCTGGATCTCCATGGTTCTTTTTTTTCTCTTCTGGGTAGCTCCATTGCAGTACTCCACTATAATTACTCATAGGCTAGTCCACTCCAGCCATTATCTCTAATGTTATTCTGTTCCCTTTAAAGCAGCGACATTACACACATCAAAATTGCTAAAAAGAAGTACCTTAACAATGTTAAAGGTTCTATCTGGTGGTCATCTGGTGGTGTTATAACCGAGAACGTATGTTGTAGATGTGTTCAGACATAGTGTGTTTACGTAGTTGGTAAATTTTGGAACGATCAGACGTTGCATGTCTGAGTAATAGCAACTTCCTGTTTATGGCGAAATGTCGAATTTCAATTGCCGCCATGTGTACATAATTTAAAGAAGTCAAAAAAGCTTTAACACACCATATGCCTTAAGATAATACTGATGGAGTTTGGAGATAAACTGATCCAATCTTGTTAAAAACGAGCAAAAGTGGCCATTTTTAGAGGTTTTTGCAAAATAGCGGACTTCCTGATGGTTCGGCAAACGTGATCCATATTACTTATATTTAACTCTCGGTATCCTACACGTGTGTGCCAAATTTTGGTAACGTATGACAAACTGAGAGAGCAACATAAACTGAAACACGTTAGGTGCCGCTATAGAGACATTTCGCCACACCCACTTTTCAAACCACAATCACAAATGCCCAGAAATTACAATGTACACATTACTGAATAAAAATCATGCCAGGTAAGGCAAAACGCAGCTCCAGCTACCAGCACTCGTGCTTTTCCAGCAGGAAACACTCATTTTTGCTCCCATGTTTGATCTATGACGATGTAAACAGGAAAAAACACATATTTTCTGATATCAGGCCTCTGTGGAAATAAATCGGATCTGTGACTGTCAGCTAAACAGGCAAATCAGATTTTCTGATCCATGACAAACAAATAATATGTTATTAAAATGAATCAATGCCAAGCAACGTTCCACGTTCCAGTGTAAATCTGCTTCAAAGGCTTTCGTTCGCTTGAAAGCATTTTCCATCGAGACAGAAGTGTTTCCTTTTACACTCCACAACTAAACACCAAGCCCCAGTCTGGTTTTCTTCCTGCATCAACAGCAGAATTGTACAGTCACATCTTTGCAGGCAATCACATCTGAGAGGACGGGGGTTCAATGTCTTTAACAAAAGCTTTGGGTAAAAAAAAAAAGAAAAACGGCCTGTGCACCTGCTCCTCCTTTCCTTTTATCTGGGCTTGATTGCTTTTCCCTGTATTGGACCACTTCCCTATTACTCCAGTCCCAGGGTATCGCTGATCTCTGACCTGTACGATAGTGGGGTTTAAAAAGGTCTTGAGTGGCAAAAAAAAAATCTGTGGATGTAATATAGAGATGCTCTCCTCACAGAGACCAGGGGATCTTCTGCTAATGAAAACAGCTCTTTCAGCAGATGCTACCCACCTCCTTTCTTCATTTCCCTCCTGATTGTACTTTCACTTCAAACCACGGTCACACTTTTGACAGATTTAATAAGTGGGGCTTCAATTAAGCAATCTCTTATCCTGCCGGGTTAACATTCGTTTGAAATTTATAATTTAAATGGTATATTTTAAGTAATTCCTTGCAATTCTTTGGGGGAAAAATCTTCAAGTGTTTTACGTCTCAATAGATTGTAATTTTGCGGCTTCTGTGCATTTTTGAGGGTCTTAACAAAAAGTAACAGAATTTTGCACATTTTGTAGAAAATTTACATCTGATTGGGTTTCAAAAAGTTGGGGAGGCAAAATGGCTCTATATCACCACCTAACAAGTTTCAGCTTTTAGTGCGCTAACAGGTGAACGGAATTCTGTACGCCTGTGTAGGGCACCAATACTTAAATACAGTAATACCTCGAGATATGAAATTAATCCAGGGTGTCCTTTATATCCTGAATTTTCCGTATGTCGAAGCAAGTTTTAGATGTAAAATGGCAAATCCGTGAAATGGCTTTCAAAAAAAATATATAGTACAGCACTACATACGAAAGTTAACTTTATGAAAATACGTAATACGTTATGTACAAAGTTTACATGAATTAATTTTAAATGTCAGTAATGTAGTACAGGGACGTACGTACAGCTTTCCTCTGGCTCAGTTGGTAGAGCATTGCGCAAACAATGCAAAGGTCATGGTTTCAAAACTCTGGGGAAAAGCAAGAACTGACAAAAAAATGTGTTCTTTCATTGAAATGTAAGTTGCTCTGGATAAAAGCGTCTGCTAAATGCATGAATGTAAATATAATGTAAATGGATTTCTCGATTTCTCCGTTTGTGTTTTTCGTAACTTGGATATTTTTTCATAAAATATTTATATATTAGCAAAATATTTTTCGACAGACCCTTTGTATCTTGGATGTTTCATAATGTAAAGCATTCGTAATATTAAAAGTATAACAAAAAATAATGTTGATTGTGTTTCCAAAATCGACAGGAAGTAGGCAATTTCACAAAAAACCTTAAAAATTGCCACTTTTGCTTGAGTCGCACTGTAACAACCTCTTCCAAGAGATTTAATCCGTTCATCTCTTAAATCCATAGGTTTTATCTTAAGGCATGTGGGACGTTGAATTGATACGTTTTTTGACTTTGTTTAACAATATGCGTACTTCGAAATTTTGCCATAACCCAGTTGCTAATAACTCAGCCATACAATGTCCAGTCAGGTCCAAATTTGTCATGCGTGTTAAGATTCTATATCTCAATGTATTTAAATATCAAACTACACTATCAGTCACAGCACAACCTAGTGGCAACATGGAATATACAATTTTCGGCAGTTTGAAAATTGGAACACATATGTAAGGGACCAAGACCTACAAAACCCTCAATTGGAGCGAGTTTAGAAAATTGTCAAATGTCAGTTAAAGGATTTTTACTGCTATTTTAAACAGTGTTTGGATTAACTGTTTGAGATTTGAATGACTTATGTAAGAGACCAAGAAAGTCCCTTTTAAAATAAAAGTCTATTGGAGTGATTTTCTAAAACCAACAGGAAGTAAATTTAAAAACAAAATGGCATTCTCGCATGTCTCATACTTTAACGAACCCCTCCTAGAGGTTGTATCTATTCACCTAAAAACTGCATCACTCTTTTCCTAAGGTACGTATGATGGGAAATCGCTAAGCTTTATTGACTTTATTGAGCCGTCAAATTCAACATTTCCCCGTAAAGAGTAAGTTGTTATAACTCAAATTGGTCACAAATTGGTCTGAACAAATGTACCCCTTTGTTTTAGCGCCACCAGGTGGCCACCTTAAATACAATATTTAACATTGAAATAGTACTTCTATTTGCCAATTTTGATATATGTGCAATAACAATCTTAGCCAAAACAATAACAAAAAATATTTAGACTCCTTAACTCTTATTTGCCCGTTCAGTAAATAGGGTCGTACCACATACACAATGAGGGGTCGATGGTGCCAGAGGTGCTCGAGTCCTTTGATCGCTGCTTGCAGATTTAATTTTGTTAAAATTATTCTAACAGACTTTCCATAAATGATATAAACGATGATATATTGAACTGAAACTTCTTATCCAGACAACCAATGATCAATTATTTCAAAGCACAAATGGAGAATAAATATAGTAAATAGTTATTTTCTATCTCAAAACAGCTGTTGCGGAAAAAACTTCCAACAAATCAACTTTTAAAATAAAACTGTGTACACAAGGAAACTTTCTGATGGATCTTTTCAGAAACAAATGAACTGCAATGAGGTACAATCTGACCACAGGCATGTATTTAAATCACTAATTTGGTTTGACAGTTTGTTCTGTGCAGAGTCAAGAGTCACATGATAATGTTCTTGCTGCACAGTTCAGCTGCAGCGCAGTTGCCAGGTTTGATCAAGCTTCATTGCAAGTGGGTAGAAACGTAACCATATGTAAGCACATCACATGATCACAAAGAACAGATGTGCTCAATTAGGCATGAGGAATTATATCTCTGTATTTGCATAAACAGACAATATCAGATTTGTTCTCACTTGTTTGGACAGCTGTTAGAGAAGACGTGAGGTTGTGCAAATGTGTAAGAGAACTGCATGTTTTCTATTTGATGTAACATTCGTTCAGGTGAAAGATGGAGGACATGCTCGTGAATCCAAACCCTCACTTTCGCAATTATTTATCAAATAAAAAAAATCGAGCCTTTCCACCAAATGGGTTCCATTTGATTGTTTTACCTTTATATTTAGAATCAAAAAGTATGTAAACAGGAAATTGAGAAAACTTACCTTCGCTCTTCCCATGGGCTTTTATAGATCGAAGTGGTTCAACTACCTGCTGAAAAAAAACGTTTTTTATGAAACTTCAGGTCATAAAATGTATTTGCAAAAAGGTTCTTTTTAAAAGATCATAATCATTATATTTTATGGTGAAGTGTATCATCAGAGGCTGAGGACAAGTAATAAATGCTATTTTTCAGCATTTTATGTGGATTTTATTAATAATAATTCACCTTGCTTAGTACTGAAATGTAAATATGAAGCGATTTTAATACGTATTTATACATATAAAGAACCAGGGACAGAAATGCATTGATTATTGACGTCTTCAGTGAAAGCTTCATAATCTGTGAGCTGCATGCTATTTTTGATCTTCAAAATGCTTTTTCAAGATGCTTCAAAACAAGTTTATTGTACACGCTATATTGTTACACGGTTCAGATTTATCTTTGAAAAAGTTCAAAATAAAAATTGATTTAAAAGACATATACACATGATGTCATGGTACTCGAAGGTCCTGGAGTAATAACAAAAAAGGCTACTGCTGTGCTAGCAGTGAGTGTGAGTAAAATGCAAAGAAAGGAGAAGCAAATGTATCGCTGCAATTAGAAAAAAGAAAATTCCGGTTTCGTGTCTTAGAAGCCGGAATCTTGACGAAAATGCCAAGTTTGCAAATTATAAAATAACTGTTTGGCATCTTCCTGCTAAGTACAAATTATCTAACATAACTCCCTTAGTTGTAACTTAAGCCAAACAATACGAAGAGAATTTAGCTCAAAATTAGCAGTTTACTGTATTTCGAAAGATGTTGACAATTTTCAGCTGTTAGCAACCTTTTTTTACGCTACTAAAATGAAATAATAGCTTTCACAAAAGAGTAACAGCATTAGATGTGCAAGTGTGCATGAAAAAAACATGTTCGTACAGTGGCGTGCAAAGTTTGGGCACTTACGTCAATTTTTATGATTTATACATTTATAAACCTTTACAAATCATCAGTTGTTTGAATATGAAATTCCAGTTAAATATTACAAACACAGTGATATTTGAGAAGCGACATCCATGCAACCCCCAATTTTAACAAGATTCCCAGTCCCTTTCTAATCCATGCGCATCTCCTTGTGTAAACTATGTGCATTGACCGCATCTACAGCAATACGATGTAGTTTTTTAGAGCTGGTCTGTGGGTTGCCCGTGACTGTTCTCACAACCCTGCGCTATCCTTGTCTGAGATTTTTCTTGCTCTGCCACTTCGGGCCTTTACTAGAACTGTGCTTCTGGTCTTCCAGTTCTGCACAGTGTTCAGCTTAAATCTTGGAGAGCTTTCTGTATCCTTCCTCTAAACCATGGTGTTCAACAATCATTGTTTTCAGCTCACCTGAGGTTCCAGCTCTTTAGAGAAGATGCAAAGAGGAGAAACTTTTAAGTGGCCTCCTTTAACCTCTAAAACACGAGAGTCCACGGTACCGGGGACTTTCCCCCTTGTGCATTACATTTCCGCTCATAGCTCACTAACCCTGAGAATAATTAATTCTTAAATAATTCTTTTAATAATTATTAAATACTGTTGTGCTCAGCGGAAACTCCTCTAAAAACGTATCTAATTCAATTTCATATCCGTTAACCACAGCTCGAACGCCATGCAAATAAACAACAACATGTCCGGAGTATAATTCATGACCAAGTTTTTGTTTATGTGCAATATGTATCCACAATATAAACGGAAACACCCAAACCATTACATTAAATGAAAGCTAACAACCAGCTGAATCCAGAGATATGCAACTCATTTACATTGCATGAAGTATTTTAGAGCAGGGAGCGAAAGTTCCCTGAAAAAAACGCCAGCAAAAACAAAGCAAGCATGTAAATCTTGTCTTACTTTTGCCGTTTTTTCAACAAAAGTTATTTCCATAGCGATAAAAGTCCTTTTGCTGTTATATCCGGTTGATAACTTTGCGAAAACTCCATTTTGGGTCTCCTCCCCATCTCTTTTCTAAGAATAACATGACCAAATATGGAAACACTCCCTGTGCGTAAAAGCAGTCCTCTCCACGCTCCATGTCCTGTGATTCGTTGGGGATCCTGTCCGTCTCAAAATGGTGGATATCATTGGATTCTACAGATTCAAAGCATCTGCAAACATCACATTCTTCAAAATCAAATCTTTCTCAAAATGTATCAAATATACTACAGAAATAAAATTGATTGAACATATTTACATTTTAAATTTTACATTTCAACTTCATTACTAAACCACATGCCGCCCTGTTACAGTCAGAAGAGAATAGTTTGCATTTAAAGATTACTACTTGACAAACAACGTGATTTCGGGACCATTTACTGCTTTTTTCTTAGCTCGCTGAGGTTAACAGAAATTCTTGGCTTTAGAAGAAAAAAATGCAGTTTTAAAGGGAAATACATTATGATTTCGTATTTTGAAGTACAGTGACATATTGGTGGTACAGTGATGGATGTTTTTATAACGTGTTTCAGGAGGAGCAATCAGGGCATATTACCAGTGTAAACCATTAAGCTTTCATCACTATTTAAACAAGTTTAAACTAACTTTAACTTTGCACCACCATCTCCTCACTGTGGGGTATAATGTAGATTTAATCCGTAGCTTTATACCTGCCACTTTATACTTGAACAACAAGGCAAGTCCTGGTCGTGAACATTATTAGCGTGTTGACCATTAATCAGGTCAATTTGCTGTAAAAGTTATTTTAACATGCTTTAAATTAGTCTAAAAAACACTCAGTATTTTATATTTCACCCTGTACATCAACTTTAAGATAGCTGCAGGCTCTCTTTCTGTAAATGTACAGTCAGTTTTATATGCACGTCAGCCGTTTTCAATGTAATGCGAATCTAAATTAAAAGTGAAAAAGATTCATATTATTCCTTCCCCAAACGGAAT